CCACAAAATATCCAACTCTCCCCTTGCGGATTCTTCTCCCCCGCGTATATATCACAGGGGCGGCAGTCACTGCAGATAGTCTGTAGGTGTCATTGAGTGAATGCGATGAATCATTGTATTTACTATTTCATTCCTATGTAGATGAAAGGCGTCACTTGCACACGACATCAATTAAAGAAACCTTACAAGTAATGAACAAAACTATTTCATGTGCTCCTTATTAACCCTTTGTTTACCCTCATTTACTCCTTCTTCCCCTTAGCTCCTCTTTCTCTGCTGATTTCTTTTTATTCCTATTTTTTTTACCATTAAAGGAGAACTATGAGGGGGGGGAGGGGGGTGCTTTTCACTCAGACTCATAATCTGAGCCGACGTGTGACAATGAGACTGTCACAGGTTGGCTCAGTAGATCGGGAAGTGAGCGAACACATACCGGCGCTCGCTCACTTCTCGATCTATCCCTGCAGAGAGCCGTGACTGTCACTCACCGCTCCCTGCAGGGATCCCCGTCCCCGCTCCGATGCTCCATTGCTGACTGGCGAAACGGACGTGGGAGGGGGCGGGTACAGCCTCTAGATAGGCAGAGCCAGCTGTCAGTCACGCAGCTGGGCGGATCCCGGCACAATTGTCGGGATCCGCTCCGGCTGCGGTGGTCTCAGTATACCGCGAGCTGTAGCTCCCTATATACTGAGCCTAGGGTGACGGGAGGACGCTAGTTTGTGTCCTCCCGTTACCCTGAGGAGAACTATGGGGAAAAGCCGTGACCCCCATAGTTCTCCTTTAATGTTTTATTCTTTTCATTTGTTTTTGTTTGATCATTTTGTTTTATCTTCTAACAAGCTTGCCGTGCTTTGTACCAGAAACATCCTTTTAGTGTCATTTTAAATGGGACAAATGATAGAATGCAATGTATGTAATAAAAAATACTTGTTTAAAAAAAAAAACTAACACCGGTCAAAACAGAAAAAACTATTTCATATTTTTTTCCCCAAAAACATACGTATTACTTTGTAAAATAAATAAGGAGAATTAATTTAATTCGTAAGTAAGTTTACCACAAATTGTACCAAACATGTAGGGCAATGGTTCTCAACCTGTGGGTCGTGACACTCAGTTGAGGGGGTCCCCACGTGCCTTGTGCTGCTCTAAGTAAGAGGCTCCTCAGCCTCCTCCTAGCGCAGCAGTGTCAGTTCCCCTAGATGGCGCTGCAGCAGCAGCGGCCGGAGAGGATCAGAGAGAGGGGAGCAAGCAGGAGTGAGGGGAGGTGAGTGCTTGATCACCACACAGCCCGCACTGGATGCCTACTAAGAGTCCCACTAGCCACCTGAGAGTCCCACTAGCCACCTGAGAGTCCCACTAGCCACCTGAGAGTCCCACTAGCCACCTGAGAGTCCCACTAGCCACCTGAGAGCCCGCATAGCCTCCCGAGAGCCCACACAGATACTAGTATTGGTGCATCCCTAAATTTTATGGTTGGGGGTCACCACAACTTGGCAAACGTTACCACGGGGTCCCGGCCCTAGAAAGGTTGAGAACCACTGACATAGGGGGTTATTCACTAAGCAGCAGATGGCAGCCGAATGACTAACCGACCTGAACCGAAGCCTCTAGGCTATTCACATCAGCCATGTACGGATATTTTTAGCCATACAACGGCTGCATTTGGGTCCCTTCACCTCCCTTCAGTTCAGCCGAACAGCCTCGGCACGCGTTCGGCCGGACCAAAGAGAAGAGCCCATTCGCCTCAGCCAATGCGACATATGGGTGGGCTGAGGAGAACGTCCGGCAGTTCAATCTCTGCTGTTCGCCCCTATTCTCCAAGGGGCCGCATTCGGCTCGGTCACTCTGCTTCACTACCTCAGAGGTAGCCAACAGAATGGAAACTGTTACTGTAATCTAAACCAAAAAAAAAAGCTTGGGGTCCCCTTCCCAAATCATACCAGACCCTTTAGGTCTGGTAGGAATGTTAGGGGGACCCCTGATGTAAACAAACAAAATTCATACCAGGCCCTTTAGGTCTGGTAGGCATTTTAAGGAGGCCCCAATGCCCAAAAAACAGAAAAGA